AGGAATAGGAATGAAGGGAAAAGACGGCGGCTTGAGAGTCGAAAAAGATTAAGGGGCATCACATTGACCCCACCAGGCTAATAACCATGAAAACTTTAGATTTGAAGGGAAAACAATCTTTTTTTTTTTTTTGAGAACTAAATGTCTTGCTTTTGATTATGCCCAACTTGTTTTCCCATGTTTCTTCTTGATTAATGTCTCCATTTGCTTCAGATGTTATGCTTTACCAAGATCCATCTACCAGGTCTTACTAGCCGGTGGTATTGATATCTTGGCTACTGCGATAGAATGGGCAATAAACAAAATTCTCAAGTAGCCTCTTCTGGTTGACAAGCAATTGAAGAATTGAAAGAGTCATAAGCAGGAGTAAATTCAAATGGTGGTAGTTTTTAGAAAATGTTTTCAAACATTGAGATTTTCAAAACAATATATTAAGTGAATACGTTCTTTACAATTCTGAAAAAAAAAAGGAATATGTTATTTACCAAATGTATTTACTAAATCCATTTTTTGAGAAATACGTGCCTATAAAATTTCAAAAGATGCACTGTGTGAACTCAACTTTTGAGTAAACACTGTATTCAGTAAATATATTTTTTCACTTTTTTAGAAGAAGTTTGAAGATTATCATCCTTTCGTAATTTCTTTTAATTGTCACACTTTTTTTTGGAAATTTACTCTTGTAGGGAGAGATAGGTGGAAGATGATGATTTCTCAAAACTACTCATCCAAGGTTTCGACTTACTATGATTGCTGAAATACAACTGTCCGTCCATCTTTATTAGTGTCATGAAGGAAAAGTATAATTTTTTATATTCGTAGTTTATCTATGAAGGGTTAAATTGATTTCACCTCTTTAGTACACGTTCTTTTACACCTCTTCCACTGCAAAGAAAAATGCATACAGCACAAGTTTGAAAGAGATTCCCTGGCGACACCCTTGGATTGAAGTTTGTTAAATATAACTTGGCCAACTTATTGCGTGGATTCAACTGGAAATTATGTGATGCAATGAAAGTTGAAGACATATGCAGAACTAATTAGTGTACTTACAAGACAACCTACTCCAACTCCAAGTGAAGGGCAAATAACCTATTTCTACTATTTGTATATTATAAGTTTGACCATTATACTATTACCATTGTCAAATCACTCACTCAGCTTCTAAATTGTGCAACGGATCTTCTGTCCCACATCTTGTGCCACTTTCTGTCCCACATCTTGTGCCACTTTCTGTCCCACTTTTTATTATATTGCTATTTTTCCTACATAAATATCATGTTTTAATTCTTTTTTGTTTCCTTAAGATCCAATAACTATTAATTGAGTAAAAAACAAAATTTAACAAACTCAAAAAATCAAAATGCATAAAAAATGAGATTTTTTATGAATTTTCTGCTATGTTTTTTAATTTTCTATTATATATTATTTTTTTGAAGCTGTTGTATTTATTTTTTACTCAATTAATAGTTATTGAATCTTAAGAAAACAAAAAAGAATTAAAACATAATGTTTATGTAGAAAAAATAGCAATATAATAAAAAGTGGGACAGAAAGTGGCACAGGGTGTGGGACAGAAGATCCGTTGCAAATAAATTTGTACACTTTTGGTCATGATGTGAATGCCCTTTTTAGTTTCCCCTAAAATGAATGGCAAGAAATGTATTACTTGAATCTTAAGGTGGAGAGCAATTCATAAGACTGGTTGGATTTTAACCTTGATATAGTCAATGGTAAGATACATGCGGAAAAACTTTCCAGATAAATCATAAGTGTTTTTGACTTATAATCAACATAAAAGGTTCGCCACTTGGTTGGACTAATTAGCCAGTCTTGCTAGTCAACCAACAAGCAGAAGGAAAGGATGGGTACATTAGTTTGGGCTCATGGGTTATCAAATAATACGGATTAATTATTTTGACCTCATAGTTCCACTCAAGTATTATGGACTTGAAGCATTATAAGTGGCATCAGAACGCAAAGAGTTAACTATTGTTTGACACTAAGTACTAAATTAGACACACTCTAGAATGCAGAGATCCTAAGTGAACGTATGTGTATAAACTGAGCCCATCGGTTACTTAATAATTTTGATTAATCATTTTAAATTCACAATTTCGCTCTAAAGTTATTTGAATCGATCCATAGATTTAGGGCATTATAGTTGATATTAGAGTAAATCTTGTATGATCTCTGCGCGGAATGAGTCTCCCATCAAATAGTGTTATGGGTCCACCTATGCAAAAGAGTACAAAAAATTAAGTATTGTACGGAACTAAGTGTTACGCTCGATTGGGCTACCTTCAAAACTCACGAGACTACAACTTAACGAGTGCCACCACCAGAGTCAATATGAGCAGACTCTAGAGTTTGCACAGTTGGTATTAGCCATTGGAATAATTACGAAAATACTGCAAGTGGATTTGCTATCTACATTTATCCCTGGATCTATGCGTTAATAGAGAAAGAATTATGAAAGTGCTTTACCTTTTTGTACAAGAATTCAGTGAATATTTGGCTGGAATTAATACAGATAAATCCTATTTTATAATTCTTTTTTTTTTTGCTCAATAGATCTAACCTTTTTTAAAAATTTGTTCTCGACTTTTTAGTAGCCTTTTACATGCTCAAAATTTGTATAAATACACTCACCGCACGCCCTGCTATTTTTTGTATACTCGAAATATGTATCACACACACACACACTAAACTAGGAATTTCCAACAAACTCGAGAAAAATAAAATCATCTTAATTCCTAAATATTTTAGAAAAAGGAACATTATTATAACAGGAGCACTTTGTCACAAATATTAGAACCACTGCATATCAAATTGAAATCCCAAATAATACTACAATCACAACCAACAAAAAAATTAACCGAGTTACACGTACAAATATTAAAACCAACAAAAATAAAATAGATAGCTCGGATAGAAGTCTAGAATTTAGTTCAAAAGGTCCAAGCAACTCCAATGAAGGCCTATCTCCATCTTGATAATGGAGGTAAAAAAAAAAAAGAACACAAGTAGCTTTGAAGAAAATATGAAAAGAAATACAACCCAAAATAAAATATTTTTTTTTTTATCGATATGATAGCGTCCTACACTATGGAGAGAGGGAGGGCCTGAAGAGGTGTTGCGGTAATCTGGAGGGGACTGAATCACCACCGTACCAGACCGGTGCACCACGTACCCGTCTGGATTTTTTAAGCAATGCCACATTTAATTATGGCAAATTGGTGGGAGACAAGGTTTGAATCCTTGCCATCACTCCCACCAAGCCTTAATGCATTGGTGGTGGCCCCATAGGCTGGTGGTTTCAAGCCAAAATAAAATGTAAAAATAAGAAGAGTGGGCTGAGATCATTTTGTTCATCAAGTAGATTCAATAAGAATTGGCAGACATCTTAATAATCAAACTGCACAAGTCTGAAACCAAAATGCAAAGTTGCATGTGAGAAAAAATGGACTAGAAGACACTATCAGATATGGATATCACTTCTTCGTATTGTAAATTATCACTTGGGAGGCAAAGTTGTTTCATGATCAATGGTTTCTTGATCACGAAAGTAGATACAATCAGCTAGTTTCATTTCTTAAGCATTTGCAATGTTGCAGAAGCATAAGAAATCAAATTGAAGAAAGTTTGCTCACATTATATGCTTAGGCAATGCCATCCAACAATCCTGGTGCTGTTCTAGTATCCAAATGCTAGTTTTTTTTTTTAACATCCAAGAGAAGACACAAGTACGGGTGAACCAAGATGAAATAGTTGGACAAGAATACCAAATTGGAGGAAAGAAAGGTTCCCTGAATATTACGAATTAAAGATGACACTTTTGTGATGTCCAGAATCAAATTAGAACCATAAAAATTTGTTATCTTTTGAATAAAAAGTGAAAACAAAAGACAACAGCTTTGGATCTTTAATCTAATTTCAGAACCACATAAAATTGGTCCAATTTGTAGACCAAAATATTAGGGGATTTTACAATATTTAATTTAAGCAAACCAATACCAATTTATTTTATTTCAATAAATATAATAAGTTAAAAAAATTTTTGTCTACACATTAATTGTAGATTCTTTGTTACTCACTGAAAAAGGAAAAAATAGAACATAAACAAGAATTAGCATAATATAGGACAAGTTATTATAAAGTAACAAGACATCGAAATTCAGAAATAAAAATATGCAAGCATATATTTAAGTAACTCGAGAAGGATAAATCATAGTCTGATTATTGTCCAGCACAAGCAGCCTCATTTCCGCATTTCAACATTCATAGCACACAAAAGGAGAGGGCAAAATCATGCATTAATACAATTCATCAGTAACTTAGACAAGGTACATGTCCTTATAAAAATAGAGACATCTGAGGAGCAAAAATCACCTATTTAAATCTAGCTATTGCTTTGTAAGACCACTGAGCTTTGATATATTCAGACAAGGATGTACCAATTCTACAATTTCTGGCCTCAGACATCTAGGGAGCAAATGCCAAATTTCTGGCCTGAGATATGAGAAGCCAGATTTCCTACTATGTCGTACACAACTACACAACTGCACCACATTGAACCCTTTGAGATTCTAACACAGTCTTTGCAGCTTCTTTGACCACTTGTCCGCTCACATAGTGTTTTCGACACACGGGCATGTACACTTCAGCCCCAGCGATTAGTTCTGTTTCAGTCTCCTCTGTCTTTCTCAATGTAAAGAAAGCTTGTCTACCACAGAGCTCACACCGAGCATTTAACTTGGTTACAGAGTCCGCCAGGGGTATAACTTGAAGCACAGACCCAAAACTCCTCCTGAACAACAAAAGAGGGGATGTCAGAAAAGGAAGAAACTTCCAGCCATCAGAAAACCAAATTTAACATGTTTAAATAATGCCTGAATCCACAAGAAAAAGAAGCATCCACCAAAACTAGACAGGATGACTAGATGGACCCACATGCAATATTTAGTAATACCTTAGATAGTCACCATCCAATCCAGCAACAATCACAGTCTTCCCATCGAGGTCAGCAGCTTCACGGCAGAAATCATAAAGGTCTTCAAAAAATTGTGCCTCGTCTATACCAATAACGTCTAGCTGTAATCATGGTAATAGCAACTACTAAGGGTACTGATGCACTGCAAAATAGGACTGCCATAATGGTACAATGCAAAATTATGAAGAGTTCTATGTTCCTTGTAAAACGTGTAGCATCCATCTTGGTTGACCCAAACAAAATGTCGCCATTTAGCATTCTAGCAAAATAGTATATGGCAAACCAAATATCATATGCGTGCCCAGGCAGTTGAAACCAGACCAAGACGCAGCACTACTTCTCAACTACAAGGTCAATTTCAACAAGGCATACCTTATCATATGCCTCACTACCAAGCTTTTGTCTGAATGATGAAAGATTTGCCAATGGCCAGCATGGCAATTTTTCTCCATCATGTGTAACAATTAAATCCAATGCATATCTAGTGTCCTTATCAGATTTTATAACTGCAACACTTCTGCATAAAGATACTAATTAGAAAAGGACAAGATAAACAGAGGTCATGTCTACATTTCTGTCCAGATGGTACAGTTTCAAACAGGAAAAGCAACAATGAAAAATTAACTAAATCAGCATCAAGTTCTAATCTATTTCCAGAAACAGTTTTGTGTAAAGGAGATTCTTGGATATATAATTTATTATAGTAATTGAAAACATGATCTCCAATGCCAACCTTGATGGCAGTGCTACCAGCATAATACCAAAAGAATAAAACAAATCACCAAATAGATAATTGGTCTAGAACCAAACCCATACCAACCCCCCCCCCCCCCCCCCCCCCAAAAAACACTCCTAAACCCCTGCCCAAAAAAAAACACAAAACAATTAAAGGTGACCATTTACTTAAAAATTTTTAATCAAATGAAGCTTAATTCAATTTCTATCATGTTTATTTCAATATTTTCTTACATGGACAATAATCAGATGTAAGGAATTTTCTTACTTCTTTTATCAAAAGGCCAACAGAACGTGTCAATTTCCTCTTCATATTGTTCCAGCAAGGAATCAGATAACAGTTTCATGGCCTATAAATTGAAGATAATAAGAGAGTCACTCAACTGAAATCAGCATCACAGGCAATAGAGAATCTGTTTAACAAACCATCAATGATACATTGGGAGTAGGAGGATTCTAGAACTTTAGATTGTTAGACACCAGATAAGAGCCTTCAACTAATTAAACAGATGGAATCGGAGTTATAAATGTTGCATTGACCCGATAATTGACCATAAAAATGGTAACTAAAAATTGCAATAGATCAAATTGTCTAATTTCCTAAGAAGCCTTAAGCACTCACAGAATCAAAAGCACATAAAGAACTCAAGTAGAAGAAATGGCATTTCAATGGACATGACTTACCAAGTGTCAGTTTCTATTTAACTCCAATACATTCAATCCATAAACCTCTGCTTAAAAAGTTCAGACATCCACTGTGACGCTTGACTCCTAAACAACTTCCAGCATCACCTCAATATAATCTGAATATATTTAATCAATCTCCAAAAGGCCCTTAATATAATGCAATCGCAAAGTCACTCTGAATCTTTCCAACAGATTTGACATATAGGTCTTTTCCTAACCATTAGAGGAAATATAATGACCATAGAAATGTTTATCTCCTTCTCTAATTACAAAAGAATAGCATGCATGACACTGAGGAAGAAGTACAGTCCAAGAATTTAAAGCTTTCAGGAGTTCTACCCTCCTAAAAAGCAGCATCCAACCATAGCATTAGCTGCATAGACAACTGAATAGCTCAAACTTTAATCCTGTCTACTATTTACTTACATCAGGAGCATACCCCATATCTTTTAGAACACAAGTCAGATCTTCAATTAACTGATGCAACTCCTCCGTTTTCTCATGAATATTATGCTCCATAAAGAAAAAGTGAGCCTCCCTTTGAATTTCAATCATGCTATAACCAGGCTCCTTCCTCATCCCAGATTCATTCATCACACTCCTAATCTCAGCTACATTATCCCACAAACCAAAAGAAGCATAAGCATTTGATAAGACAACATACTTTCCAGCACTTCCAGGTTCCAACTTAAAGAAGTTCTTCGCAGCAATCTTTGCCAAGTCCATATTTCCATGATTCTTACAAGCTCCAAGTAAAGCACCCCATACAACAGGGTGTTCCTTACAAGGTGAATTCACGACAAACTCATAAGCATCTGCTAACCTACCAGCACGCCCTAACAGATCAACCATTGCTGCATAATGTTTTCCCTTTGGCTGAATTCCATAATCTCTAGTCATTGAGGTAAAGTATTCCCAGCCTTTGTTCACCAATCCTCCATGGCTACAAGCAGAAAGAACTGCAAGAAATGTAACATGGTTGGGTCTAAAACCTTCATCTAACATCCTATGAAAGGATTCTATAACCTCTACCACTCTTCCATGTTGTCCATAACCAGATATCAAAGCCGACCAGGTAACAATATGTCTATCTAAAAACTTCTCAAATACAATATGCCCTTCAGAGAGACTACTACACTTGAAATACATATCCATGAGAGCACTATTAACTACAAGGTTTCCACTAATTTGACACTTGATCCACAAAGCATGGGCTTGCCTGCCCTGTTCCAGGATTGCTAAAGAAGCACAAGCCCTAAAGACTGATGCAAAGGAATAGTGGTCTGGTATCAAACCATTTTTTCTCATCTTATGGAACATGCTCAAACCCACCTCTTCCAACCCTATCTGCACATAGCCTGCAATCATCGAATTCCATGAGACCAAGCTTTTCATTTGTAACTTGTCAAAAAGAATATGGGCTAGATTAAGATCTCCTGCCTTTGCATATAAAATCAACAATTTAACATTTAGATATTCATTGGGAACACATCCAATGATTATCATTTGCCAATGGATTTTTTTTCCCAAACTATAATCTTTCCTGAAGATACAGTCTTGCAAAAGAAGAGAATAAGTTTCCGATTCTACTTGAACCCGTGCATGGCATAACATCCGAACAGCTTCCACTACTCTTCCTGAAAAACAGAGATCCTTCAAACTCTTATCCAACTGAAGGGCAATCTCTCTAGCATCGGCCTGAAAACTGGGAATGTCATCAATGATGATTCAATCTGACCGCAAGAACAACTCTAGTTCGCTTGTTCTTCTTCAAAGAAGAGGAACAAGACGTGGAAAAATTTATTCATTCCAATTGTATTAATACCAGTAATTAGTAATTACAATCACATAATATGCTCAAGTTCTTTTTTGAAAACCCCTCCAAGAGTCTTACAAAAGACAAAACTTTAGCCTTTAGTCATTTATGATACATAAAAACATTCACTGATTGACACACAGTCTTCACTGGAAAATTTACTCTCATGGAAAAACTTGTATTCATTCTCAGCACGGAAACCGCATGCATTAGTACAAGTTATAAACAAAAAGGAAATTTAAAAGAAAATGCATATTTTTACTGTACTAATACAGAAATTTATCAAGTTTTATACGTCAGAGAATTCAGTTTCCACTAAAAAGCCAACAAACAAAAAAAATGCAGGATTATTAAGAATAAAAGCAATGCTAATCAAGAAATGGTAATTAGCAAAACAACTACGAAACTAAAAAGAGAAAGAAAAACAAAAACGAAAGAAAGGGGGAACTTTACCTTCCATTGCTGCTCTCGGTCTTAATCCTCCTGAGAAGAGTGGAAGTTTTTCCAGCAAACATGGGCCCCACAATCACGTGAATTTCACCGGAAGAAGAAGCAGCAGCAGCAGCAGAAGTAGCTTCTGATTTCAAGCCTCGCATCTGACAATGGTGATGATGTTGCTGATGACTAGGTTGAGGGTTTAACAAGGGTTTAACGGCAAAAAAACGAGGATTTCTTGTTGGTGTTTTTAGGAGAAAAGATGGGTTTTTGATGGGGTGGTGGTGCAAAAAAAGGGGATTTTGGAGAACCCATTTGATTCTTGAAATCATCAGCATCTGGGAAAACTGTTGAATTTGGTGGATTGTTTCTCAGGAGTGGAGCTGGAGTGGAGGGGAAGGGATGGCTTGGTTTTACTTTGACGGGGGTTTTGGGAAAAGATTCTGGGCTTTGGACTTTTGATCTAGGCTTTGGGCTTTGAAGTTTGGGAATTTGCGAACTTGTAAAGTTGTAAGCTACTTGTCTAATAAAAATCAATCACCTAATTGCAAGAAAGAAATGATTAGTGCTCTCTCCATTCCACTTTGATATCCTTATTTTTCTTTTTCGTCTATTTCAAATTGTAATTCACTTTTCAATTAAAAAAATATAGTTATTTATTAATTTTTTAAAAATATTTTTATTTAATGTAAGTTGTTATTACTATAAACAACCTCAAAAATTAACATTGAAAGTCTAGTTACGAGATCAGCAAGATGCTCTAGGTAATAACAATCACCTTTTCGTCTTCCTCTCCAAAAGATCAATAAGCTTGAAAATCCAAGACAAAACCAGATAAGCTAAACCCAAGTTGCTCACAAGCTATTGATGACCAAATGGAGTGGGTTTAGCCGTACCCAAGTCACTTACAGGAGATAACGTATTGTTAATTCAAAGTGAGCACATATCAAATAAGCACATGGATTGAGAGTCAGGAGAGATCAAACTACCACTTAATAGTCCACTATTTCATCTCCGTTTTTATACATTCATTCAAAATACAATTGCCGGAAAAAGTGATCCAGAATAAAACACACAAAGAACATTAAGTCGGACCCACAGCCAATTTGAAAAGGATACATGATCAAGCATCTCAAAACGAGGCCCGAAATACCAAATTCCAACGAAAGTCGAAAGTCAAAAGTGTGACGAGTTATTTTAAACGAGAAAATGGGTAAACCCCAGATTCAGAACAAAGAAATAAAAGGTAGTATTATAAATTTTACAGAAGCAATGAAATAGCGAAGAATAGCAAAAAACGTAACAAGGGAAATCAGAAAATAAATGCCAAAAAGGGGGTGGGGGGTGTTGAAAGAAGGATACCTTTGGATTGACGGATTGAAGAGTAACAGGGGTGGTTGAATAATTGGTAGCCATGGAGTTAGGAGAAGCAGGGAAAGAGAGGGGATGGAGAGCAGCGGCGGTCAAGAAACGCAGGGGACTAGTAATAGACGATGGATGGGAAGGAGAAGAGGAGGAAAAAGGTGATGATGTAGGTTGAGAAAGAAGGGAAGGAGGGTGATGAGGACGGGTGGATACTGGGCAAGTGGGGGAACAAGAGGAAGCTCTCCTGATGAGATTTCTGGTTTTGTCGGCTACGAATCTCCGCATTGCCAAAGAAAATAAAAGAGAAAAAAAATAAAAAAGAAGCAATGTGCCGCTGAGCTGAACTGCTGCTAAATTTTGTCTCTGACCAAATTTATGGAATTTGAAGCTTATGACTTTGTGTGTTTTTGTGTGTGTGAGAGAGAGAGAGAGCGTAGTGGCAGTATAGTACAACGAACGTAGCCAGGTAGGTTCAATTGCTCCCCTCGAGACCGAGAGAGAGAGAGGCCGACTTTCGCTTTCGCTCCCTCGCTCTTGCATTTTGCCCAATCCCCGGAATTGAAAGCTCCTTTTCTATGTGCCTGCCGCCGTGCAGCTGCTGCTAGGGATGGCAACGGCGGCTGGCATCCGCGGGGGGTTGGGCAGGGGGAAATATACTCCCCCCCTTCATCACCACCCGTTTGAAAATATATATATGTACATAATTATATATATAATGATATTATCAATTATACTATTAATTATATATATCTATTAATAAAAATTATTAATTATTTATGTTAAATTTATTAATATATTTATGTTAAATTCTTAATTCCACTTAATACAATAATACTTTTTCTAAAAAAAATACAATAATAATTTAGTGATTATATTTGTATCAAAAGTGAGAATTTGATTATTTTAGTTATATTTGTTTTATCATATTAGATTATATTCAAATAACTTTTGTTTAATTATTCTTATGAGTTTCAATTATGAAGTTACAATGAATAATAATTTGGTGATATGTTGATATTTTAGTACTTGATTATTTGCTCAAATTTAATTATAATAAAATTTTTTTAATCTCACGAGTGCCCTCACAGGGGAAGCGGGGTGGGGCGGGAAATAGCGCGGGAACGGGGGGAATTAAAATGCAACGAGACGAGGTTAGCTGCTGCTGGTAATTTTGAATGGAATGAAATTGTCAAACCGATTTGTCCAATAAACATACCATCATCACTTAGCTAGGCCGACTGATAAATAACAAAATAATACGGGGGACCCATGATGCACTGTCGCGCCCCACTTTCGATTAGTGTGTGTGAAAGTAGTGTGTATGTGAACGTGTGTGAAAAATGAAAATAAAAGGCCGTGGGACTTGAAATGCGACGATTTGGCCAAACAGAGTTCAAAAAGGATTTTTTTGCATGAAAAATGGAGTCGCCACTTGGTATGGAGTTAGGATGTACCAAGTCACCCAAAAAATGAATTTTTTGAAAAAACAAAGTAAACAAACCCCTTTTTAAGAACTCTTAGGTCTACGTAACCAGAAAAAGGGATCGGGGGTCACATTTGATAAGGGAGAAGGCAAAGGCAAAACCTAAGGCACTCCCTCATCCTAGCCAAAGCTAGTTGCGTGACTTACCCCACTTTTCCTAATTTTTCTACCCAAAGTATGTATCGCATGTTGGATATGACTAATGGATGCGAAAAGGAAAGAAAAATGCAATCCTAAATCTAAAATGTTTCTTATAAAGCTTTTGGTCCCAACCACATGAATTGTGGTGGCCAATAAGGAAAGTCCTCATAGAGGTCGCGAATGATGCAAATGAAGACTCAAATATGAATGCAAGTGTGAAAATGTAAGAGAACGTGCATGTGTGCGAATGTAAGACAAGTGCGTGTATGCAAATTGAGAAAATAAAGGTGTTTGTGTGCAAATGGATGAAAGTATGATAGTAGATACATATAAGTGCAATTGGGTGCAATTTGTGAGGTAGAAAAAATAAATGACAAGAGGAAAAATGTGTAAACATGGCATTTGCATTGAGAATGATATAAATAGTGAGAAAATGTGGATAAGAGAGTGAGGAGGTGATATAAAAAGAATGCAAGTGTATGACCCTAAGGGAATGCATCAAGTCGGGCACGGGAAGGACTCCTAACTTTACGACTTTGATTTTCCCTTGGATTAGAAGGAAGAACTAGCGTGCTAAGGCTATTTTGTAGCCACACTCGCTCGTTTCCCTTATCAAAAGGGGACTTTTCAAGCAAATGTACCCTATAACTAGCATGAAGATGCAAAAGCCTAGAATGATGGGGAAAAGGGTTGGAGGGGCATGCCAAATGATAGAAAACTAAGAAAAATGCATGAAATGTAGTGAACATGCAAGTATGCACTAACGAAAGGAGACGGCCTATTGGGTCTATCGTTGGACTAGCCCTTTCTATGAATTCCTACTAGCGTTGGACTAGTGGAAACGGACAATGAGCCACAACTAGCGTTGGACTAGTGTGGTGACGTGCATTCATCCATCATATTCATCTACGACTATAGAAAACAAGTAGACATGCCAAACACTCATAAACACGTAGCACGTAACACTTAGCATGCTCAACTAGATGCAAGAACCTAATAAAGCAAATTAACACATAACAACAAAGGCATGCAACCAAGCTAATGAGCCTATTACATTCGCTAACTAAAACAAAAGGGGAAGGGGAAGAATGGACAAGAATGCTCGCCAAGCCCTATCTATTACAAGCCAAGAGGTGTACACATACCCCATGAAGAATAACTTAAATAAAAGCAAAAGTAAATGAAATAAATGAAAGGAATTAAGGAAAGGCAAGGAAAGCGAAGTAGACATGCAATTTTCACTTTGCACGTTGGATCACGTAGGAGAGCCAAAAAGGGAAAAGAAATTATACCTTCCTTGCAATGATGATCAAATGAAGGAAAAATGGCTTCAAAACAATAAAAAAGTCAAGGTACCACTTTAATTAAGAAAAATTAAAAGAAATGTGCAACACCAAGCTCATTTGATCAAAAAGCCCCTAAAGTCACGAATTAAATGCAATTAAACAAAATATAGTAATTAATTAAAGCAAACAAACAATGAAGTTGCAAAAATCAAAACTGCGAAGGATCAAATTGATGAAATTATTCAAATAGTTGGGTCATAGTGAAACGAAGGGGAACTTGGGGGGTCAAAGTGTGATTTTAGAAAGTTATTTCATGCAATCTTCATGCAAAGACGTGAGAAGCATTCTGCAACAAACAAAGATGAAACTTGCTGCATTTCCGTTTCCTTCTCAGATTTCGGACTTAAAGATGCAGCTTGGCTCGAAGATAGACCAAAATCATAGTTTGAAGCTAAACAAAACACACCACTTCAGCATCCAAACAGGCAGCAAAAGACGCTCATTTTCCTGAAATTTTCGTGCAAATGTAGCAAGGAAAACTACTACAACAGAAAAGAAAGCTTGCTACAATATACCGAGCTTCTCAAATAAATGAAATCATAATGCAACTAACATACCAGCCGACCAAGCAAAGCCTTGACATTAAACCCAAAGCAAATACAAACTTCAACAAGCCAGTAACTTAGTCATAAAATCATGGAAAATCTGAAAATGCAGACAAAGATTCGGAAACTTCATTATCCTTTGCTGCAAAGTTTACGAAGCATCTCACTTCCTCATAGCTGACTTCTATTTCCAGAATTTTCGCAGCTTATTGGCAACCAGAAAAACTTAAACAAGGCCCCAACATCCAAGCTTCAAAGTACGTAATACAACCCGTAACTTCGATGTCCAAACAAACAAGAAAAACATAGAAAAGTATCGTGAACAATTCTGGAAAAACATCTATGCAAAAATGGTTCGACAACTCGCTATTCAATCGTCTGCAAATTTTTTTTTGTAAAGCTTGCGACATGACATTTGATGCAGGAGTAAGTAAATCAACTATGATTCGAACATCAAACATCCACAGCAACATGCAAATCAAACCCTTCACACAATTCACAACACTCAACAAGCAAAATGAAGTTTGCGGCAATTTTTTTTCATTGCAGCTCTCATGGTTTCTAGTGCAATTTTTCTATCCGAACATTACTAACGGCTCAACCAACGTCATCTTAGGCCAAAGTAACAGATCCATCTAGCATTATTTCTGCTTTGACCACAAAATTAACGTGAAAGTTAAGAGGAGACAGGCATGCAAAAATCTGAAAGATGCCCGCAACTTCAAAAACCTTCCAAAACTTTCTTTCGGGTCAGTTCCAACAAAATTTTTCCATCCCAGGTTCCGAAGCAAAAATGGAGTTATAACGCAACTTCTAACGACACCCAAATCTTATTTACTCAAAGATTACATATAATCACAAGGAGACATGGAGGAAATTTCTGTATGAAAACAGCAAGAAAGATGCAAACAACAAGAGCAAATGAAGCAGTATTTTGGCATGCTTGCCACATTTTCAAGAATAGATGAGGAAAAAAAACAACATGGGATACCTTTGAACTGCTTTGGGCCTCAAAGGAACGTGGGAAAACTCACGAAAAACATGTTCCAATGTTGGAATCTGGCCATCAATCTTGCTGCAGAAAACTTCAAGAACCTAACTCGAATTTTTCAGATCTCGCCATGGGTCGTTGTTGATGGGTGGAAGAAAGCTCGACCTGCTTGCTTTTTCTTAAACGACGGCTAGAGACGGTGGAGATGGCCGAAGTGGTGGTTTGCGGCTGCCGCAACAGCTGCGACGAGCAGTGACCGCCTCCATCACCCTTCTCCGCTCTCTCTTTGTGAATATCCCTCTGCGTTCTGCTACTCAGTCCTCACGAAACCCTTCTTGCTTCTCCAGAATTTCCAGCCAGCCTTCCCTCTCTAGCTCCCTCTTCAGCCGTCGCCAACCCTTAGCTCTCTCTCTTGCTCTAGATTTTTCCACCGTCACTCCACTCCCTCTACTCTTTCTGGTTTCTGGTTCCTTAGTCGTCAAAAATTCTCTCTCCTTAGCTCTCAAAATCCCAGCCGCTGTTTACTCTCTTCTCTCCATTTCCAGCCGTCGCCCGCAGATTCCCCCCTTGCTCGTTCAAAACCTCCTCTCAACCTCTCTTCCTCTCGGTTTCTTTCCTCAGAAACTCTCCGTAGCCTTTCTGTTTTTTCCTCTCTACCCCCACAGCTGCCTCACTCTTATTTCATCAGCCCCCCTTTCCAGATCCTCTCAGCCGCCCCCAAAGAACCTCCCTTTTTCTCTCTATCTCCCAAGACTCCAGCCGTCATAAAACTCTCCTGATTTTTCTTTTGCCGTTCCTCCACACTTTTTCCTCTCTTGCAGCTGCTGTTTTCTATTTATATAGGACCTCAACCCTAAACTCCCAGCCATCTTTCCCAAAATTGCAGCTAAAGGAGCTGCCCAGTCCTTCCTTGCAAGCTGCGACAATACGCAGCTTGCAAGTCGCGTATATATTTTTTTTGAGATTTAAAACAAAATTGATAATAAAAATAAATAACAAAAATAACTTAATTAACATTGGATAAAAATAAATAAACTAAAAACAACAAAGTGCAAATTCCATTTTCTTTTTTTTTTTTTTATTTTTCATCATCATTTTTCCTCTTTCTTTTTTTTTTCGAGAAATTCTATGCTAAAAACTTACAAATA